CTCTGCTGACTGGGTGTCCAGTCCAGGCCTTTTTAGCCTGCAAGAAGCCGTCTGGTTAACGCTGAGGACATGGCTTGCTTACTGTTGCTCTTGGAAAATGAATCTCTTCCTTCCTTCCTTCCTACCTCAAAAAAGAAAAAAACAATGCAAAACAATAAACCTGACTTTATTAAAGGAGCAAGAGAGAGGAAGATCTCTCCACAGCAGCTGCAGCGGCTCAGGTGAGAGCCTGAAGGCAGAGCACCGGCTGCAGTCGCCCGCGAGCGCGGCGATTTCCCATCACCAGCTGGCATAACAATTTCCAGAAAAGCTGCCAGCAACAAGCAGAGATTGGCATTTCACAGCCACAGCACAGCACGGCCACGCCCCTCAGGGGCCTGGGAAGTGCTCCTGACTGCTCCTTGCCCTTAACCTTCCTGCCCGCCACCACGCCAGGTAAACAAGCCAGCTACTGGACTCACCAGCAGTTGAGGTGTCATGAAGGCCCCTCCCTGCTGCCAGCGACCCTTATAGGGTCGTTTCATTCCTAATCGGCGTGGTTTCCTGAAAATCAAAACCCCCAGGAACAAGCACCTTATTCCTACTCTCCTTTTCCCTTTCTCCGATAGCTCTCATTCCAAACAATACCCTCAGGACTCGAACCACCTGGGCACCTATCACACTGAAGTAACTGGCAATGGAAGCGCTTATCCCCGTTTCTAAAATATAGCACTTGTTTATGTTATACTTCCACCAGCACAGTCTGACCAACTGTTAGGACTCCATAAATGCTGATTGGATAGAACTTGCCTAAACTGGCCTGGGTGCCTTCTGAATTTCACAGTGTGCTGGGTTCCGGGCAAAGCTCAACTGACTAAGGCAACTGCTTCCTCCCTGAAGCAGCGACCCACCCAGGGGCCAGAACAGGGAGGCAGTACACCTGCGCAGCAGCGACTGGACTGAGGGCCCTCATCTATTTGTGATCCCACAACATTACTTTCTCCTCTGCCACAGGCAAAGGTGCTCCTAGAATTTGCTTTTTTTTTTTTTTTTTTTTTTCCTCCTGCGCTGAGGCAGGTCCTTTTGTAGGGCAGAGATGTTAATAGGATCAGGCTGAGGGCTAGGTAGGGATCAGGGTAGAGACCACAGCCTGAATTATATTGTAGAAATCACTAAGGAACTTGGGTTTGGGTGGGCATTTGGCCTAAGACCCACTTGGGATGCGGACACATTGACATGCCTGGGTTAGAGTCTCGGCTCCTCTCAGCTCCTGATTCCAGCTTCCTGTTAGTGTGTCTTGGAGGGCAGCAGGTGAAGGCTCAAGGACTTGGGTCTCTGCCACCCATATGAGAGAACCAGTTTGGGTTCCGGGCTTCTGCCTTCAGCCTGGCCCAGTCCTGGCTGTTGTGGGCAATTTTGAAGTGAACCAGCAAATGGGGACTCTCTGTCAAATAAATACATTTTTAATAATGAAATTTCAAATAAATACATTCTGAATAAAGAAATTTAGATTCGAACTTAATAGAGACCTGTATAAACTAATCTGTGTGTCTGTTGAAAGAATCATATTAGTTACAGCTTCAAAAAGTCTGTGGAAACTGTGTCCCACGTTGGAGTCCCTGGGTTTAATTCCCAGTTCCACTCTTCATGCCAGCTTCCTGCTAACGCGCACCCTGGGAGGCAGCAGGTGAGGGCTCAGTCCCGTGGGTCCCTGCCACCCATATGGGCAACTGAGATTGGGTTTCCAGCTCCTGGCTTTAGCCTGGCCTGACCCTGGCTGTTGCAGGGAGTGAACCAGTGAATTGAAGGCCTCTCTCTCTTTCTGTCTCTCTGCCTTCCAAATTAAAAAAAAAAAAAAAAAAAGTTTGTGGAAAATGGAGTTAAACTATAAAAATAAAGCATAAAGTTTATTTCTCAACATCATCCCTATCAAGTCCAGGATGCTGCTGAAAACAAGACACCAGTCATTGAGTCATCCCTGAAAGACTCATTGCGTGTCCTCAGAAGGCAGCCACGTCCGTGTAGTATTTTTTTACATGAACTAGAGAAAACTGGGTGCCCTTTAAACTGTTTCTGAGATTAGAAGACAAAACAAAGTCAGAAGGGACCACAGCAGGACTGAAAGTTGAGTGCCTAATGATTTCCATCAAAATTCTCAAAAATTACCTTTTTAAAAATATTTATTTATTTGAAAGGCAGGGCTACGGGGCTGTAGAGGCAGAGAGAGAGAGAGAGAAAGGTCTTCCATTTGTTGGTTCACTCCCCAAATGGCCACAATGGCCGGAGCTTGGCCCATCTGAAGCCAGGAGCCTCCTCCAGGTCTCCCACGGAGGTGCAGGGGCCCAAGGACTTGGGCCATCTTCCACTGCCTTCCCAGGCCACAGCAGAGAGCTGAACGGAAGCAAAGCAGCCGGCCTCGAACTGGCGCCCATATGGGATGCTGGCACTGCAGGCAGCGGCCTTACCTGCTATGCCACAGTGCCAGGCCCCAAAATTACCTTTGATGAGAGCAACGAGCAGGAGCATCATCGGGTGGAGAAGGACCCTGGTGAAGCCTCCTGAGTATTTGGCTGACTCCCCTATGAGCAGATGTTATCACTCTTTGGCCTTCCAGAAAGTCAGTGAGAAAATGTCTGCACAGCCCATAAAACTGCTGCCACGGCCTTTTGCTCTTGGCTGGTCTGCACTGGCTGTGCCTGGACCCTCTTGGTAGCCATCAGTTGGATTGTGCTTTTTCTTCAGGATCATACTGGTAATGCTAAATGCTTCAGGGTCTTGATCCCACTTGGTTTACATTTCCATTTAAAGCTACGCTTTTCTCCAAAGTTATCTTGGGCAGCAGTTTTGGCACCCATCGAGAAGGAAGTTTTCTCCATTTTAACTTTACAGTCAGACCCTGTAAGCTGAACCAATGGAGGTGTTGATGGTGCTGGCTATTGTTTCTGCTGTGAATTATCAATCCTCTTCAAGTACGGCACAAACAAGATGAATTTTTCTTTCCTCACAAATGGATGTGGATGCTGCTTCATCTTCAACATCATCTCATTCCTTTTTTTTTTTTTTTTTTTGGACAGGCAGAGTTAGACAGTGAAAGAGAGAGAGAGAGAGAGAAAGGTCTTCCTTCTGTTGGTTCACCCCCAAAATGGCCACCAGGTGCTTCCTTGGGCCGTCCTCCACTGCCCTCCCAGGCCGCAGCAGAGAGCTGGACTGGAAGAGGAGCAACCAGGACAGAATCCAGCACCCCAACCGGGAATAGAACCCCGAGGTCCTGGCGCCACAGGCGGAGAATTAGCCTAGTGAGCCGCGGCATCGGCCATCTTACCTGGGATGGGCACGGAGGCACAGTGGGCTCAACAGCTGCTTAAGTCACCCATGTATCATGTCAGAGAGCTGGGATTGAGTCCCGGTTTTCTGCTAATGTGTCTGCGAAGGCAGAGCAAGACAGCCCAAGTACTTAGATCTCTGCCACCCATGTGGCAGACCCAGATGGAGCTCCTGGCTCCTGGCTTTGGTCTGGCCCAGCCCTGACTGCTGTAGCCATTTCGGGAATGAATCAGTGGATGAAGTCCTCTTTCTCTGTCTCTTTCAAATCAAGTTGATATGAGTTCATTTTGGTATAAAAAATTTGGAAATGCATGCATAGGTTTTCCATAATACTCAGTTGAAGAACTTTTTGAAGCTCCCTCATACATGTTCAGGCTCAACATTGTTATTACTGAGGAAGATGGCTTTTTTTAAAAAAACATTTATTTATTTATTTGAAAGTCAGAGTTACAGAGAAGCAGAGGCAGAGAGAGAGAGAGAAAGAGAGAGACAGAGAGAGAGGTCTTCCCTTCGCTGGTTCACTCCTCAAATGGCTGCAAGGGCTGGGCTAATTTGAAGCCAGGAGCCAGGAGCCAGGAGCTTCCTCCGGGTCTCCCACGTAGGTGGGGAGCCCAAGCACTTGCACCATCTTCTACTGCTTCTGCATAGCAGAGAGTTGGATCAGAAGTGGAGCAGCTGGGGCCGGCGCCGCGGCTCACTAGGCTAATCCTCTGCCTTGTGGCGCCGGCACACCGGGTTCTAGTCCCGGTCGGGGTGCTGGATTCTGTCCCGGTTGCCCCTCTTCCAGGCCAGCTCTCTGCTGTGGCCAGGGAGTGCAGTGGAGGATGGCCCAGGTGCTTGGGCCCTGCACCCCATGGGAGACCAGGAAAAGCACCTGGCTCCTGGCTCCTGCCATCGGATCAGCGCGGTGCGCCGGCCGCAACGCGCCGGCCGCGGCGGCCATTGGAGGGTGAACCAACGGCAAAAGGAAGACCTTTCTCTCTGTCTCTCTCTCTCACTGTCCACTCTGCCTGTTAAAAAAAAATAAATAAATAAATAAAAAAAAGAAGAAGTGGAGCAGCTGGGACTTGAACCAGCGCCCACATGGGATGCCAGCACTGTAGGCAGTGACTGTATCTGCTCCACCACAGCACCAGCCTCAAGAAAGATGGCTTTTGGATGGCAGCTGGTTGACTATGGTAAGGTTTGCATTGCAAGTTAAGTAAAAGAGGCTAGAGACAGCAGAATTATTTTTTCATAAATGAGTGAGAAGAATTTGGACTTCAGGGTCGGAAGAAATTTGAGACAAGATAAGAAGAAGAACTAAAAAGGGGAGATGGGAAAAATAAGAATCAATGTACAGCACTGTAGCACAGCAGGTTAAGCCATTCCACATCAAAGCACTGGTTTGAATCCTGGTTGCTCTTCTTCCAATCCAGCTCCCTGCTAATGTGCCTAGCAAAGCAGTGGGAGATGGCCCAAGCACTCGGGGCCCTGCCACCCATATGGAAGAGCCAGGTAGAGCTTCTGGCTCCTGGCTTTGGCCTGGCCCAGCACTGGCTTTTGTGGCCATTTAGGGAGTGAACCAGGAGATAGAAGATCTCTCTCTTTCTCTCTCCTTCTCTCTGTTACTCTGCATTTCAAATAAATTAAATATTTTAAACGAAGTAATTTAAATTTTTTCAGTAGTAGAATATCAAGATGTCTGTAAAAAGAAAAAACAGGTATATTTAATTTGAAAGCATTTATGTTGCTAAGAATCTAAACCACTACTCAAGTAAAATGAGAGCAATTTAACAAAATCTATCAAAATAAAAAGGTACATATCATGAACTTTAAAATTCTACTTCCAGGAGTTTACTCTACATTGCACTTGGCAGTTTCATGATATCCTTCTCTGTAATACCAAAACTTTAGAACCCACTTAAGAGGTCAGTGTTGTGGCATAGCAGGTAAAGCCACTGCCCTGCACTGCAGCCACTTGGGGAGTAAACCAGCAGTTGAAAGATCTCTCTCTCTCTCTCTTGCTCTCAGCCACAGCCTCTTTGTAACTCTGCCTTTCAAATAAATAAATAAATCATTTAAAAAAGAAAAGAAAAGAAAGAAACCACCTAAGTGTCTATCAGTGTACTATATCTATACAATGGAATAATATGTAGCCATTAAAAAGGTTCAGGCAGAGTTATTCAAATATGTATCTTTTGAGGCTGGCACTGTGGTGCAGTGGGTTAAAACCCTGGCCTGAGGTGTCAGCATCCCATATGGGTGCCGGTTTGAGTCCCAGCAGCTCCTCTTCCGATCCAGCTCTCTACTATGGCCTAGGAAAGCAGCAGAAGATGGCCCAAGTCCTTGGGCCGCTTCTCCTGCATGGGAAACCCAGAAGTTCCTGGCTCCTGGCTTTGGATTGGTGCAGCTCTGGCCAATGCGGCCAACTGGGGAGTGAACCAGCAGATGGAAGACCTTTTTTTTTCTGCCTTGCCTTCTCTGTGTAACTCTAACTTTCAAATACATACATAAATAATTTTTTTTAATAAAAAGAAAGTGTTCTGGGGTCAGCACTCTGGCACACTGGGTTAATGCCCTGGCCTGAAGCGCTGGCACCCCATATGGACGCTGATTCCTCTTCCAATCCAGCTCTCTTTCCCAGTGGCCTGGGAAAGCAGTAGAAGTCCTTGGGCCCATGCACCTGCACAGGAGACCCGGAAGAAGCTCCTTCCTGGCTCCTGGCTTTAGATCAGCACAGCTCAGGCCATTGTGGCCAACTGGGGAGTGAACCAGCAGTTGGAAGAACTCTCTCTCTCTCTCTCTCTCTCTCTCTGCCTTTCCTCTCTGTGTAACTATGACTTTCAAATAAATAAATAAATCTTAAAAAAAAAAAAAGTGTTCCTTGATGATACTTCCTTTACAAAAAAACAGAAGCAAATATGTATCTTTTATGAAGCAATAGGAAGTTCTGTCCTAGGCAGGGGGAACCACTGAGCACCAGGCCAGAGTGCAACAGAGGCACCATGTTTGCAGAGGGGTCAGAGGGGTCAGTCGGAGAATCACAAAGCCCCCCTCAGCAGTGCTGGAGGGAGGGTCAGCCTGACAGTGGGTCAGGGACCCACACTGGGAGGTCCTTGACAACTTCTTTTAAGACAGCAGGCCTGTGGCTCACCTCCACAGAGCTGCAGTTCTGCTGCGCCTGGCCGGGTCTGGTTGGCAGAATGGGCCAGGGGCAAACCAGAGAAAGGTAGTCAAGGGGCAGGAAGATGCTGCTAAGAGAAGGAGCCTGTGTATTGTGGGTCATGCAGGGGCTCAGTAAAAAATACTCCAAAATGGCTGGCGCTGCGGCTCACTAGGCTAATCCTCCGCCTGTGGCGCCGGCACCCCAGTTGACCTGGTTGGGGCGCAAGATTCTGTCTTGGTTGCTCCTCTTCCAGTCCGCCTCTCTGCTGTGGCCTGGGAGTGCAGTGGAGAATGGCCCAGGTGCTTGGGCCCTGCACCTGCATGGGAGACCAGGAGGAAGCACTTGGCTCCTGGCTTCGGATCGGCGAAGCCATTTGGGGAGTGAACCAACGGAAGGAAGACCTTTCTCTCTGTCTCCTCTCACACTGTCTAACTCTGCCTGTCAAAAAAAAAATTATTAAAAAAAACTCCAAAAAGAAGACCTCGGAAGCTGAGTTTCTCTCTGACCTTCTTCTGCCCTCCTGTCTTTAGCTGCTCATGCTCCTCTGAGCCAAGCTACAGAAACTAGGACTGCTCCCCTCCAGGGCAGGTCACAGACACAAGAGTCCCTATTCCCCAAAACCATCCACAAAGCTAGAAGTGTCACTCTTCTCCCTACCTTCTTGTGTAAGTTGGCCTTAAAGAATTCCTCTAAGCTACGTTGTGTGATTGTAGGGCATAAGCTCCCCTTCAAGCATGGACCCTGCCCATCCCTGGGAAGAAGGAATGCTACGAAGAGGACAAGAATCTGAACAGACAGGCCCTGCTGGTTCCCAGACGCCCCTCAGTCTATTTCCATTACATCATGTCCTTTTTGTCTGTATCTCTGTCCATGCCACACTGAACATAAGTCTGGAAATGGATAAGTCACTCTTGGATCTTTGCGTCTTTCATCTAAAGCCCCTATGTCACATAAAACTCTGAGCTGATAAGTTTGTTGTGGTTTTCTCCTGTTAACCTGTCTTTTGTTATAAGGTCCATGGCTCTTCATGACAGGCACGAAAGGATCACCCCCTTCTCTGCCCTTACAATTAAACACATAGTTAAATGGCTTTCTTCCTTTAATTTTTAAAATTAATTAATTAATTAATTTGAAAGGCAGAAATAGAGATTGTCCATCTTCCGGTTTACTCTCCAAACGCCTGCAGGGACCTGAACTCAATTCAAATCTCCTGCATGGGTGGTAGTAGCTGAGCTGTCACCGGCAGCATCCCACTGAGTATTAGCAGGAAGCTGGATCAGAAGTAGTGGAGTTGGGACTCAAACCATGCACTCCCAATTTGGCACGCAGGCACCCCAAGTGGAGGTTAACAACTTAACCTCTGCACCAAACACCTGCCCCTGTTACGTAGCTATTTAACTGACTTTTCAATGGGTTATGAAGATATTGATTCCAACACAGATTTCATGGAAATTGTGTTGTGTTTATTATGCATTTTCTGTGACCCTGAAAATCTAATGTATTAATAAGTTTCTTAAAAAATAAGCCATTTAGAAACTTTCGAAAAAAATAAAGAAAAAGATATCAATACTAACAAAGAAAGAAGCCTTATTGTTCTAGTAAACATTTTTTCTTTTTAATCTATAACTTAAGAGTAGTGTTTAACTCTTAAGTTAAGACACCATTTGGGGGCTGGCGCTGTGGCGCAGTGGGTTAAAGCCCCAACCTGCAGCACCGGCATCCCATACGGGCACCAGTTCAAGTCCTGGTTGCTCCTCTTCCAATTCAGCTCTCTGTTATGGCCTGGAAAAGCAGTAGAAGATGAGCCAAGTTCTTGGGTCCTGCACCCACGTGGAAGACCTGGAAGAAGCTCCTGGCTCCTGGCTTCAGATCAGCTCAGCTCTGGCCATTGTGGTCAACTGGGGAGTGAACCAACAGAATGGAAGACCTCTCTTTCTCTGGCTCTACTTCTCCCTGTAACTCTGTCTTTCAAATAAATAAAATAAATTCTTTTTTAAAAAAAGACACTATTTGAGACACTTGCATTCCATATCATAGTGTCCGGGTCCCAGTCCTGGCTCTGTAAATGATTCCAGCTTCCTGTTACTGTGCAAGCCGGGAGGCAGCAGATGATGGCTCAGGTAATTGGATTCCTGTCACCTGTATGGGATGATCCTGAGCTCCGGGATCCTGGCTTGGGTCTGGCCCAGACCCAGCTGTTGTGGGCATTTGGAGAGCAAACTAGCAGATGGGAGATATTTCTCTCTCTCTTTCCCTTTCAAATAAAATAAATAAATAAAAATTATAAAATAATCTACAACTTAGATGATGATATAGTTGAGAAAGGATAGATGACAGACACAAGATTGCAAATGATCTTTTGAAATTTTTTAAAGTTTTAAATTGACAAACAGTAATTGTATATCTTCTGTAGTACAGTGTCATGCTTTGGTATATGTTTACAATGCAGTCAAATCATTGAGCAGATTGGAACAGTGTCAACATCAACAAGAAGAAATTCAACACTGATAAAGTGAAGATGCACATTAAGGTTTAAAAAAAAAAAATCATGGCCGGCGCCGCAGCTCAGTAGGCTAATTATTTGTCTTGCGGCGCCAGCACACCAGGTTCTAGTCCCGGTTGGGGCGCCGGATTCTGTCCCGGTTGCCCCTCTTCCAGGCCAGCTCTCTGCTGTGGCCAGGGAGGGCAGTGGAGGATGGCCCAAGTGCTTGGGCCCTGCACCCCATGGGAGACCAGGAGAAGCACCTGGCTCCTGGCTTCGGATCAGTGTGATGCGCTGGCCTCAGCGCGCTGGCTGCAGCGGCCATTGGGGGGTGAACCAACAGCAAAGGAAGACCTTTCTCTCTGTCTCTCTCTCTCACTGTCCACTCTGCCTGTCAAAAAAAAAAAAAAAAAAAATCAATTGCCCAGGAAGGAGCAGGACTGGCTTCACAGTGTTTTATGTGAAAAAGGTTTAGGTCTCATCAAACCCAGTTCAGTCACAGTTTCTTGACAAGGCACATGTCAGATCCAGAGAGATCATGTCTCACTACATTTTGAACTAACCAGTTCTGGCTGTGCCAGTTACGACACATATTGAAGAATTAATGTATGCCTACTGAGAGATCATGTTAGGAAAGGATCTAGTAACTTATCCAAGTGAGAAAAAACGTTATGCAATTTAGAAATATTAACGATGGAGAAGAGAAGACCATGGTGATGAACAACAGCCATCCTCAAATAGCTGATCAAGTTTAAGGTCAACAACATGAAGTTGCCAATATTTGACTGCTATGATCTAGAAAACGACAGGTTCATTAGGTTCAACCTAATAGAAGAGGATGGAGATTCTTTTTGTAATGCTGCAGAGAGCAAACAAGAATCATTGGCTGAAAGAGAGAAGTAAATATTACATCCACATAGGAAGGAATTTGTCACAACCGGATACTCAGAAGCAGAATAAGTTGCCCTATGAGGATTTAGGTTCCTGTCACTGAAAGAGCCCAGGCAGAGATAGGTGACAATCTACTGGGGAGACTGTGGGAGACTCCCTGTGATGTAGGCTGCATCTGCAAGCTGTCCAGCTGGACCCCCAAGGTTCGGGGATAACACACCAAACCAATTAGGGGACCTGGACATCCCAGATGGTTTGCATTGCTGTGTCTTTGCCTACTTGGCACTCTGCAAATTCCTACTCAATTCTCCAGACTCAAATGTGGCCCCACCTGAATTCCCCAAATGGTCTGTCACTCTCTCCATTGCGCCACCAATTACCTTGTGCTTACTTCTGTAGTAGCTCTCAGCATTCTTTTGCAATTGTTTGTGTATTCAGTCCCATTCTGATTAAATGTGAGCTGCTTGTGAGCCAGAAAGATAGACCTTCCATCCTTGTATCCTTGAGAGTAGAACAATATCTGTCACAGGGTAAATACAACAAATACGTATTAAATGAATGGGGCCAGGGATTTTAATTTTATATGTATGTAACATCAAAAAAACTGTTACATATACATTTTGAATCAAATGTTAATTAATTAATATCCTTATTGTGATACACACTTTATTTCATTTATTTTAAAAAATTAAAGCCGTAGGACATGTGTTTGGTGTAGTTTTGTGCCACTTGGGACACTCGTATCCACATGGGATTGCCTGGTAGAGTCCCAGATCTGCGTCCCATCCCAGCTCCCTGCTAATGTGTCCCCTGGGGGGCAGCAGACTACGGCTCAAGAACTCGGGTCCCTGCCACTCACATGAGAGACCTATAGAGTTCTGGGCTTCAGCCTGTTTCAGCTTTGGTTCTTGTGGGAATTCAGAGAGTGAACCAGAGGATGGAGGATATCTCTGTGTGTGTCTCTCTGTCCCTGCCTTTCAAATAAAGTAAATAAAAATGTAAATATATATACAAAATGGAAGCAATGACCCAGGTTCCACAATTAATTTCTGCTTTCAGCCTCATCATGACAAGCATTGAGCCGCAGGTTCCAGGACAGGGAGTCGATCACAGCGGCCTTTGGGAACCTGATGGAAGCTACAGGCCTTCTTGCTGGAGGTGCAAGTGTGTACTGAAATTGACATTCCATTGTGGAGGCTCCCTGGTCCCCCTAGAGTCTGTCTGTGGACAGCTTCTTCTCCCTCTGCAATCCTACAATCTGAGAAGCAGGAAGAAGCCGTCTGGGAAACTTTCCCAGGGAGAGCTCAAGAGTGGAGGGGAGGTGCAGCAGGAAACCCCACGGCGAGACAGGCAGGGTGCGCGATCACACGCGGGGAGGCAAGTGTGGAAACGCGAGGCCAGAGTCCGAGGCCTGCCGGATCGCGTGTTTTCAGACCGCGGAGCCTGGGGTTCCAGTCCTGCAGCTTTCTCCTCCTCTCCCTGTGGCTCACTCTCCCTTCCTCCCTTTTCGGCAGCCCTAATGGAAACTCGGCAGCTCTTTCTCTTTCCTTCCAGATGGGAGGTTCTGGCAACGAGAAAGTTCTGATTCTGTTCTCTCTGCCAAGGGATAAAGCTAAAATCTGTTTTCTTGGAAACCAACTAATGTCTTTAGGAAGCATGACCCTCATTAGGGAGGGACTGGCCCCTTTGAATACAGAGAAGGCAACAAAATTTCCAGCACCCACTGATTGGGTGATTCCAAACACATCAGCACCTTGAACACTAACAAACGATTTAAAAACGGACTCACTTGTCTCTGCCATCTAACCTCAGGATCACAGCCCGCCTCGCTGCTCTTCTTTGGATCTCAGATAACTCCGAAATGTTTCTGACAACCTGTCTGGGAGGTAAGAGACACAGAGCTCACATTTTCCACAGGACAAATAGCGCAAGGGACACATAGGAAGCCCAGGAGCACAATACAATCAGCTTCCTATTGAACCCTCGGGAACTTGGCAGTTGGAAGAACTTCTGTAGAGTCCAGAAAGCCCAGAACATTACTTAGTCCGTAAGCCACTAGACTGAGAGAGAGAATGGAATTCGGGGTGGGGTTAGGAAGCCTGAGCTGTGTCCCCAGATAGGCCCCTGACTCATGATGTGATAACGGCCTGCTCATTTCCTGGCTCAATGTTCCCATGCCTACCCCACCTTCCCAGGCCCCTTCCCCTACCCAAGCAAAATAAAATAATGATTTTATTCTTTCTGGAGAAAGCCAGACATGATTGTTTCTATAAAGGAATCTGGAAAACAGCCAGTCTCCCAGCATAGCTATGTAAGATGAGCTTGTCCATTTTATAGCCCAGGAACCTTCTGGGTGGCACATAAAACCAGGACTGTAAACCCTTTGTCTGTGGCTAGGAGCCTCAGTTGGGCATGAACATCTCCATGTCCTCGGTCTGGGATGACAGGCTGGGAGACAGCTGGGTAACACCCAACTAGGCCAGGGAATGAGTCAGGGCTCAAGGACTCGATACCAACCTCTGCCACTCCTGCCAGGAACTCTCTGGGTGAGAGAGTGGAGGAGCTGAGGGGCGGGCCTCCGGCTGCCTGCCCTGGAGCTGCGGGCTTGTGGTTTCACCCTGGTTTGCCCTACAGCTGTAACGTGTCTACTGACACGCAAGCCCTGGACACGCTGTCCCTTCCCGGTTCCCAAACCTCTGCTCAGTGTCTGGAACAGATGGTAGGTTTCACCCCAGCAGTGACAGCAGGCAAGGTGAGAGGAGCAGGGGAGAGCAGAGCTAGGGGCAGACAGACTCCTTCAGAGAGCACGGGGCAAATACAAGACTTCTCATGGAGAAGGTGAAGAGCAAGTAGAAACTAAAGTCACCTTCAAGGAAACAGTAAGAAAAGGGCAGATGAGGGGTCGGTGCTGTGGAGCAGTGGGTTAAAGCCCTGCCTGCAGTGCCACATCCCATATCGCTGCTGCTCCACTTCTGATCCAGCTCCCTGCTAATGTGCCTGGGAAAGCAGCAGAGGATGGCTCAAGTTCTTGGGCCCCTGCACCCATGTGGGAAGACCTCGGAGAAGCTCCTGGCTCCTGGCTTCAGATCAGCCCAGCTCCGGCTGTTGCAGCCATTTGGGGAGTGAACCCAAATGGCTGACCTTTCTCTGTAACTCTTTCAAATAAAATAAATCTTAAAAAACAAAACAAAACAAAACAAGAACTTAAAAAGAAAGAAAGAAAAGGGGAGACGAGAGAGGCAGACAGGCTGCTGCAGGTGATAAGACATGACCAAAGGACAGGTTGATGCATACCCAACAGCCTCATCTCCTATCTGCCAACCTGCAAGATTCAGGAGCAAATGGCTAAAGGCCCATGGCTTGTTTTGACATCTTCAGCTCCTGGCAATCCATCTCTCTCCTCAGCACATTGATTCCCAGTGTGGGGCAGGTCTTAGAAATATCCTCCGGTGCCAAAACAGTCTACCACTCACATGTTTCCTTATATGATCTTAGTTAGTATTCCCAGCAACTCTGCGAGGTAAGTTTTAGGATCCCCATTTCACTGATGGGTACAGTAAAACACACAGGATTTAATTAATTTGCTTACAGAGTCTGGAAATAGTGGAGCAAGATCCATATCAGATTGGAATACTGGGTTTGAGTCCCGGCTCTGCTGCCAAGTCCAGCTTTCTGCTAATATGCACCCTGGGAGGTTCTAGATTATGGCTCCAGTACTGGGGTCTCTGATTCCTGTGTGGGAGACCCAAACTGAGTTTCTGGCTCATGGCTTCCACCTGGCCCAGCTCTGGCCATTGCATCTCATTTGGGATGAGAGAACCACTGAATTAAATATATCTCTCTTTCTCAAATAAAAATTATAAAAAATAAGATGTGTTGTCAGAGCCTCCCTGGATTCCATTATATCAAGTTGCCTTTGATCTGATGTCAAATCAAATCAAAATGATCCCAAAGGGTAGACTTCTTAAGCCCTCTAAGGAGCAGAACAGGTAATGAACAATGAATGGAAATCTCAGAATCTCTCAACTGAGGTATTTAAAAATCCTGGAATTGCTGGGTTTGTGCAGGCTCCCTGCCATCTGAGCTCCCAGCGCAGCCTTGGTACCCTCTAGTGGAAGTTTTCTGCATTCACACAGCTTCCCTGGCTTCAACCCCAAAGAGTTGGGAAGGAAGCCCTCACCCAGCCACTGGGGAGCAAACTGAAAGAATGGCCAGCTGAAAAACCCATGTTTGTATGTCAGAGTCCATAGGAGCAGAGGAAGGAAGGAATACAGATGAGAAAATGCATGCCAAGCACGTGGCTCAGATGGGACCCCCAAAAGAGTTATTGTCTGTATGTAAATAAGCCAAGGCCTTTGTGCATTATTTATAGGAACTCAATTATACATCTCATAGAGTTGTAGACTTTTTAAGGCTCTAGAAAGATACTTTTTATTTTATTTTACTTATTTATTTGAAAGGCAAAGAGACAGAAAGAAATCGACATGGGGGTGAGAGGAGAGGGAGAGAGAGATCTTCCATTCATTGGTTTACTTCCCAAATGCCTGCAATAGCCAGGGCTGGGTCAGGCCAAAGTCAGAAGCCCATAAGTCATTCCAGGACTCCCGTATGGGTGTCAAGACCCAATTACTTGGTCAGTGCCACGGCTCACTTGGCTAATCCTCCACCTGCGGCACCGGCACCCCGAGTTCTAGTCCCGGTCAGGGCGCCGGATTCTGTCCCGGTTGCTCCTCTTCCAGGCCAGCTCTCTGCTGTGGCCTGGGAGGGCAGTGGAGGATGGCCCAAGTGCTTGGGCCCTGCACCCGCATGGGAGACCAGGAGGAAGCACCTGGCTGCTGGCTTTGGATCAGCACAGTGCACCGGCCATAGCGGCCACTTGGGGGGTGAACCAACGGAAAAGGAAGACCTTTCTGTCTGTCTCTCTCTCACTGTCTAACTCTGCCTGTCAGAAGAAAAAAAAAAGACCCAATTACTTGAACCATCACCACTGCCACCCAAGATGTGCATTAGCAGGAAGCTGGAATCAGAAGCAGAGCAACTTGAACCCAGGGACTCTGATATGGGATGTGGGCATCCAAGTGGTATTTTAACTACTATGCCAAACACTTGCCCTGAGTTACTTTTATTTAATGAGAAAAATTAGTGATCAGAGATGTGAAGTGACTTGCCCAAGGCCACAGGGCAAATCACCAATGATGGGACTAGAACCCCTATCTTCTGCCTCCCAATCTGGTGCTCTCTCCTCTGTTTCACACTTCCTAGTTTGTTGATTGATTAATTTTAGTCATAAATTGGTGTGCACATGAGGACGAGAGTTGCAGGTATAGCTGGGGAATTGTTTTTGCCTTCATCTGCTCACAATTCATACACACTTCATTCTTTCATTCAATATCCATGTTTGCCAAACACTACCCTAGGCATTGTTTTCCAAGTTGGTGGGCCCTTTCTTAGTATCCCTGCATAGGAGAAGGGGATCCCAGGCTCCTGGGACTCTATGCCACTGCCCTCCATGGACACTCTGGGAGCTGCTTCCCCACATTCCCAGCACTAAGGTGTTGGATTTATTTCTGCTGTCCCCTCACCCCGCCCCGACACCCCCCCCCCCCCGCCCACCTGCAGAGGTAATCCCTGGGAATGGAAGTGGGTTAGAAAGAGATTACTCTGATCCAAGGGCTTTACTCTCTCCTCCCTAAACATAGTGTGAGGGTGGGGACTCAGGGGTGGGGAATCGCAAATAGCCTGAAATTCCCTGCTAGGATTATTGCTTGATTTAGCCAGCTGGGGTGAAAGTGGAGAAAGAAGAGGCAAGGGATTAATTCTAGACCTAGCTGGAGCGGCAGGAGGCATGGGTTTCTTTCCCTGCTGAGCCAGGATAAGCAATATCTCTTCCTAAACATACCTTTAGAATGCGGAATCTAGGGCAGGCAGGGAGAGGTACAGGAAAAGGCTTTGTCCCTAGCAGCAGGGGAGAGTGGGAGGATGGATGCAAAGAGAAGCTAAGAGAATAAAGTCGTGTGGCACAGCAATAAGGAATCATTTTGGGGCTTGGAAATGACTTCATTTTGGCGGTCTCAGCTACCACAGAGGTGAGAGAGCAAACACTCAGGGCTTCCTGAGGACTTGCAGTCCCTATGCCAGTCAGGGGCTCTCCTGCTTTAGGGATACTGTGTGTGTGTGTGTGGGGGGGTGGCTCTGGGGACAGAGATGTTATCTGGGTCCAACAAAAATAACAAACACCAGGATTCTGCTAGGCTCTGCAGATCCCTTCCAGGGCTATAATGAGGCTTAGAAGCAGCGGTCAGGGACCACCGTTGTGGCCAATTCGGGGAGTGAACTAGTGGATGGAAGACCTTTCTCTCTGTCTCTCCCTCTCACTGTAACTCTACTCTCAAATAAATAAAATCTTTAAAAAAAAATACTCTCAGGCACTAAAGCATTTTTTTTTTTTTTTGGACAGGCAGAGTGGACAGTGTGAGAGAGAGACAGAGAGAAAGGTCTTCCTTTTGCCGTTGGTTCACTCTCCAATGGCCGCTGTGGCCGGCGCACCGCGCTGATCCGATGGCAGGAGCCAGGTACTTCTCCTGGTCTCCCATGGGGTGCAGGGCCCAAGCACTTGGGCCATCCTCCACTGCACTCCCTGGCCACAGCAGAGAGTTGGCCTGGAAGAGGGGCAACCAGGACAGAATCCGGCGCCCCAACTGGGACTAGAACCTGGTGTGCCGGCGCCGCAAGGTGGAGGATTAGCTTAGTGAGCCGCGGCGCCGGCTACTAAAGCATTCTTAACTAGCACATAGAACCACAGATAGTCAACTTGAAGAGACAAACTCTACTAACACTGTTAGCTCCAGATCAGTTGAGAATATTCCTTAGAAAGTCAAGATTCTTGTTTCTTCTGTAGCACCTTATCTGGGACAATTCATTTCTACTGCTCTCCATGCCCTCACATCAGAGAAGTATAACACAAATACAGAGCAAGTCTATTACTTGCTTCAACCCAAGAATCATATTGTTTGGAACTGATTCTTCCAATCCTGCAGAAAAACTTTCCTTGTTCAAATCAGCAGTGCTTCTCCAAGAAGGAAGGTTACTAGGCACAATTTCCAAAGTTCCAATCTCTACAAGTTTTTTAAACATTGCTTTGAGAGAGAGAGAGAGAGAAAGGAAGACAGAGACATAGAGAGCTTCCATCTGCTGATTCATGCCTCCAAATGCCTGTATTGACCAGGGTTGGGCCAGAGCTCAGAGCTGAGAACACGACCCAGGTGTCCTGCTAGTGGCAGGGACCCAGTCACTTGACCCATCACCACCAGCTCCCACAGTGTGCATTGGCAGGAAGCCGGAGCCAGGAACCCAGGCATGTTAATGTGGGATGTGGCATCTCAACTTCTAGGCCAAACTCCGGCCTAGGATTTCAATTTTGTGATGTTATCTGCCACTGGGAGGAAAAGAAAATGCAGGTACGTATCCCACTGTGCACAGGGAGGCCCATCCTCTTCGGGATCCGTTGGAAGTTTCAATAGGACAAGAGATTCCAGGAACCCCCCTGTATTTGGAGAAACAGGAAATCAACTTTTCCTTCTGTCTCATAATTCACCTCAGATTCTCCTCTGTTTATTTTGTAAGTAAATAGCTGAGTGTCTACCAGCTTGCAGGCCTAGCCTATGCAATGCTGAGCCCTAACCTATTCCTTCCTCTGATTGCACAATGAGTTCCCTTATCTTGCTCTCACCATCAAGGCAAGGCCCTTTTATCTTGCTTATCGAGAAATGTGAACTACTAGTGTTGTAGGGCTATGAAACCCCCTTTTGGTGTTACTTCTCTCGTAGACACCCTCCAATCTTCCATGGAGCTGAGGTAGGAGGATTAGATGAATTTTCCAAAACAGCAGAATCAAACACCACCACCCATTTATAATTCATCTCAAATGAATTCAAATAATATTGACTCCCCCTACTATTTCATCCAGGCTGATGTGGATCATGTTTGTGTCATCTGAGAAACTGATCTGAGGACAGACAGAAACAATCTGGAATGTACTGGCTACTGTGTGAGCCAGCGTCATATCTGACAGTGGAGGGGGGAGCTGTAGCACAGTGGGTTATGCTGCTGTTTGGGATACCGGCATACTACATAGGAGTGCCTGGTTCAAGTCCTTGCTACTCTGTTTCCAATTGCATGGAGTTTCAGGCTCTTGGCTTTGACCTGGCCCAGCCCTGGCTGTTACAAGCATTTGGGCAGTGAACCAAGTGCTGAGAACTTAGCCTGGGTCTCCCACGTGGGTGGCAGAGACCCAAGTACTTGAGCTTCACCTCCTGCCTCCTAAGGTGCACATTGGCAGGAATCTGGAATCTGGGGCAGAGCCAGAATTTGAAGCCAGGTACTTTGATATGAGATGTGGGTCTTCCCAGCAGCATTTTAACTGCTATTACAAATGCACTCCCCTTGCATCTTTGTTTTTTTTTTTTTTTTTTTTAGATTTATTTTATTTATTTGAAAGGCAGAGTTACATAGAGAAAGAAGGAGAGACAGAAAGAAATCGCCCATCTGCTGGTTCACTCCCCAGGTGGCTGCAACAGGCCAGGGCTGGGCCAGACCAAAGCCAGGAGCCAGCAGCTTCTTCTTGGTCTCCTACGTGGGTGGCAGGGGCCCAAGGACTTGGGTCATCCCCTGCTGCCTTCCCAGGCCATAGCTGAGAGCTGGAACGGATGTGGAGCAGCTGGCAGGCTGCAGTTTGACCTGCTATGCCACAATGCCAGCCCCCCTCCCTGCACCTTTTATTAACACACACACACACACACCCCTAGCACCTAACTTCACGTCACTATTAATGTGTCATGCTATTGGTTTAAGTTGTGGCTAGAGGTGATGGGACTGACAGTATAGATGGAAAGTGACAACTTAAGACTATATGATCCCCAAACCCAGAAGTAATTTCTCTCATTTCCACTGATAGTCCCTGGCACCTCACTCAACCTTGGCAGCAGCTGGACTGCAGCCTGAAAGCTCTTGTATGCACAGACCATGACTCCAAACTCCCTGATGGACAAGTACTCCATAAACACTAATTGGCACAATAAGATAATAAGCAATTGGTAAGTGTGGAAAGTGCTTGCCATTCAGCAACATTTCAAGTACGGGACTTTCCAGTATGATGCCAACATCACGGCTCCTTTAAAAGCTGAATGCGGGGGCCAGAGCTGTGGCACAGGTTAATCCTCCCCCTGTGGTGCCGGCATCCCATATGGGCACTGGTTCGTGTCTCAGCTGCTCTTCTCATCCAGGCCCAGGAAAGCAGTGGAAGATGGCCCAAGTCCTTGGGCCGCTGCACTTGCGTGGGAGACCTAGAAGAAGCTCCTGGCTCCTGGCTTCGGACAGCTCTGGACGTTGCGGTCATTTGGGGAAGATCTTTCTCTCTGTCTCTCCCTCTCACTGTCTGTAACTCTACCTCTCAAATAAATAAATAAAATCCTAAAAAAAAAAAAAAAAAGGCTGAATGCAAAGCAGTAGGTGTATGAGTTCTGAAATTGACTGCTTGGGTCTGGATCCCAATTCTGCCAATTCCTTGCACAAATGACATATTTCTTTGTGGTTTAACCACATATGTAAAACAGGAATATTCTCTCTTTTTTTTTTTTTTTGTAGTGAGGATTGAGCTAATACACGTAAAATACTTACAAATTTGCCAGGCACGTGGTAAGCAATTTCTAAAATAAAAGCTATTATTAAATTTGTTAGTATTAAACCTATGACTCCCACATGACAAAAAATGTTTCTGCCAATCCATGTATTTTGCTTTAGTGAACACAAAAGTAAATTCCCTTAATTTGACAGTAAGAAAGAATTTTCTACATAGTACACACAGGGAAAACGAGGGTTCAGATTCAAGGTTACGCAGCAGATCAGAAACTATTCTTCACCCTTTAGGGAACCAAGCGCCTCCAGTGTACTCCGGGCATTGAAGGAAAACACTTGCCTCAGAGTTCCCTGACCTCCGAGGGAAAACATCTCATTTCGTACCGGAGAGAAATAAAGCGCAGAAATGCGACAAGCCCAAAAGAATGCAGGAGCCCCTGGACGCCAGACAACCTCACGCGCAGGCGCAGCTCGACCTCTAGCTCGTTCCGGCTGGCGCGTGACAGCCGTGCGTTTCACCCTACCCCCAACGCCCTCTCACTGCGCACGCGCAACCGTACTCCGCCCTCCCCACCCTTACCCCCAAAGAGCACGTGCGCGTCCGCGCGGCGCACATTTCGGCGGAGGGCGCGCGCCCTGGAAAATTCCACTCCCGCGCTAGCTCCGCCCTATGCTCCTTCTCTGTTACCCTACGCTCTTCCCTGTCAGCCCGCCTCCCGGCAACCTTTGCGCGAGCAAAATGGCTGCCCCCATGCCACGGGGATTGTCCTGTTTATCCAAGGCTGTGGGATGGTGGTCTCGGCAGGTGGGTAGGGACGGGGCGGATGGGACTCTATGGGCTGGAAGAGGAGGACAGAGTAGAACGGGAATTCTCTCCGTGCAGTTGTCCTTGGTGAGCTCGGGTGATTCGAGTCAGACCCAGGTTGAGTGAGAGTTTGAAGTGGGCGGGATCCAGCTACTGTGCTCAGTGGTGGGGTGGGGAGACAGTGCGTGGGAATTTACTTTCATTTGGTTTGTGTTTGGTGTGCGGGTATTAAAAAGGGAAGAAGAGACGCCTTGGAATGAGGGCTCGCTTCTCTTAGATCCTGAAGAGTTGTCCGAAGTAGAAGGAAAGAGTCCCATATTATCATTGCCCTGGTCTGAGCAAATCTCATGATTAGAGAGGAAAGGACTCGGGTTTTTGAAGAGCTTATTGATCAGTTATGAGCTAGAAGGACAATAAAATTTGCGGCGGAATTCCCCATAGACTGAACCAAATGTAGTCTGATTCAGTGGGGAGGAGACGCCAGGAAGACTTTATGTTTTGGTAAAGCGTTCAGCCAATCTCAGTGTCAGGTTGGTATTTAAGTTTCCCGTCAGACTGAAAGTTCTTTGAAAGCAGAAGCCTTGCTTCGATCTACTCTGCCTCCCTGAGTTACCATAATTCGGTGCTTTGGAAACGATAAAGGAACGCCTTTAGTAAATGCTGAGTGATGTTAATAAAGGTTGGGAACTATCATCCAGTACTGGACACCATATGTCTTCGGGTAATAGTGCATTTTCCCCTTGATAATTCGTTTATAATTGTTCCTGAAACGTTATTTGGATATGCTCTTTCTATAAGATTTTGCTCAGGATACTCGCTTTTTCCCAAGTTACCTTTATCCTAACCTTTCCCTCACCTTCCAGCCCATCCTAGGGACTCACTTGACAGCTGTAGTTCCAGTGAGAACTAAAAAACGGTTCACACCCCCTCCTTATGAACCCAAATACAGAACAGAAAAGGAGTTTATGGAACATGCCCGGAAAGCAGGATTGGTCATTCCTCCAGAACATTTGGAGCGGCCCATACATCTGGCCTGTACAGGTGAGGTGTGGCATCTCTGGGACTCTAAGCCAATTCCCTTCTGTCAGAGATCTTATGGGCCTGGAATAATTTGGACTATGATTGATGGCATTCAATTAATCACTAAATCAGTTAAGCCTCTACACTGCTTTACTTCATGTACACTGTATTTCACGGAGGTCATCTTTTTGCTCTTGTTTTCATACTATTCCTAGAAAGCAAGTAGGAAATTTGTAGAAACTGAGGCTCTGAGAAAAGACTTACTCTTTTTTTCCCCTAGTGTAATAAAATTCCCTCAATATGGAAGTCTATTTCATTAGTCTACTTTAAATCCAGGATCCTTCCCAGTTTTTTATGGGAAAGCGACTTTTTCTCGATCTTCTAACGCTTTGTTTCCTCCTTCTGTCATTGCAGCTGGTATCTTTGATGCTTATGTTCCTCCTGAGGGTGATGCTCGCATGTCTTCTCTTTCCAAGGAAGGACTAAGCCAGAGAACTGAGCGACTGAAGAAGAATGTGGCGTCACAATTGTCGTAGGTGTCTGAAACAACCGGAAATCAATATTAGAGTAAAAATGTCTTAATTTTTTTAAAGATTTATTTATTTATTTGAAAGGCAGAGGCCGAGAGAGAGAGAGGTCTTCCATCCACTGATTCACTCCCCAGAGGGCCGCAATGGCCGGAACTGTGCTGATCCGAAGCCAGGAGCCTCTGGATCTCCCTCACAGGTGCAGGGGCCCAAGGACTGGGGCATCTTCCACCGCTTTGCCAGGCCATAGTGGAGAGATGGATTGGAAGTGGAGCAGCCGGGACTTGAGCTGGCGCCCACATGGGATGCCGGCACTGCAAGCAGCATCTTTACCCGCTGTGCCACAGTGACAGCCCCCAAAGTTCTTAATTTTTAAAAAATTTACTTGAAAGGCAGAGTGACAGAGAAGTCTTCCATCCACTGGTTCACCCTTCAAATGTGCACAAATGCCCAGGGCTGGGCCAGCTTAAAGCCAGGAGGAACTCTAGTACTTGAGCTGTCAGCTACTACCTCCTAAGATACACGTTAGCAGGAAGCTGAATGAAAAGCAGGGCAGGGATTCAAACCTAGGCACTCCAGCATCAGATGCGGGCACACCAAGTGGTGTCTTAGCCCCTGAGCCAAACTTTGGCCCCAGAATAAAAAGTTCTTGTTGCTACTTTATCCCTCAGAGGCTACCTTTGGTTAATTGATTTGAGTTTCACTCCCTTAATAACTGGACAATGTTTTTTTTTCCTCTGTAATAGAGTCTATGATTAATACAAAATAGTATGAGCATTCTGATCACTAGCAGCCTGTCTCTATTGGTAATTATTATTATTATTTTTTTTGACAGAGTTAGACAGTGAGAGAGAGTTATAGACAGTGAGAGAGACAGAGAGAAAGGTTTTCCTTCCGTTGGTTCACTCCCCTAATGGCCACTATGGCCAGTGCTGCGCCAGTCTGAAGCCAGGAGCTGGGTACTTCCTCCTGGTCTCCCATGCATGTGCAGGGACCCAAGCACTTGGGCCAACTTCCACTGCCCTCCCGGGCCACAGCAGAGAGCTGGACTGGAAGAGGAGTAACCAGGACTAGAACCCAGCACCCCAACCGGGACTAGAACCTGGGGTGCTGGCGCCACAGGTGGAGGATTAGCCAAGTGAGCCATGGCGCCGGCCTCTATTGGTAATTCTTGTCACATTAGGGAATTGACTTTGGATTATGTGGAACCCTTTTTGGATCACATAATTTAATGCTTAAAGTGATAATAGAAGAGCATATTTATATGAGAAGTACCTTATAGTTTAAACTTCAGAGAGTAAAAAAAGCCAAAAAGGGTCAAGATCTGTTCTAGGGAGCTAATTAGTCCTTAGATAAGGCACAGAGGCCTGAACCTTTTCTTTTTTAAAAATTCACTTATTTATTTGAAAAGCAGAATTTACAGAGAGAAAGAGATCTTCTGTCTGCTTGTTCGCTCCCCAAATAGCTGCAGCAGTCAGAGCTGGGCCGGTCTGAAGTCAGGAGCTTCTTCCAGGCCTTCCACATGGGTGGCAGGGGCACAAGGGCCTGGGCCATCTTCCACTGTTTTCCCAGGCACATTAGCAAGGAGTTGGATCAGCTGGGACATGTACAGTGCCACAAGGGATGCCAGCATCCCAGGCAGCAGCCTCACCCAATATGCCAGAATGCCAACCCTGTGAATATTTTCTTAGTCTCTCTTAGTTAAAGGGACAAAAATCATTCAGTATTCCTCACCGCACCTCTTAACTATATCTAAATCAGGTTTTTTAGGGTCATGTGTAGGTTTATGTGTGCAAATATATTGATTCAGTGTTGATTCTTTACATGGCCATGACTTAATTCTCTAAGTACAATCTCATCATGTTATCTTCCCTGCTTAAAACTTTCATGGCTCCCTGTTACCTGAAGAATAAGTCCAGATTTCTTCAATGATATACAAGGCTTATGTATAATCTGGCCCTTACTTTTGTTTCCATCATCATCTCTTGCCCCTTACTCCATTTTTCTCCTCCTAAATGACAGCATGTCCAAACTTAATGGCCACTTCCTTTACGGAAGTATGTCCCACTTCTATGTCTTTGCACATCCTTCCCTTTCCTTTGCCTGAAAATGTTTTTTTCCTCCTTTCTTTAGCTAATAATTCCAACTCATTCCTCAAGACCCCTTCAAGCAGCCCGTCTGCTTTTATGCCTTCCTGGCTTTTTGGTGCTACCCTTGGCTAGAATATTCACTGCACATTTATTCTTACTACTTCTAACAGCTATCTTCTGCAGTGATTGCCTTTCGTGTATTTCCTTCTTGGACCACGACCTCTTAGTTGGTAAGGTCCATGAAGATGATGAACAAAACACACGTGATTATACCAGGGAGTTACCATCTAGGGGGAGAAAACAGTCAGTAAATACTGATTGCACACACTTAAATAATGATAGGTGTGGTGAAGCATGAGCGCTGTTGAGAGCGTAAGACACGGAAAGACAACTTGGTGTGGGAGATTAGGGAAGGCGAACTTGAGTTGATATTTGAAGTTGCAACCTGAAGGACTGGAGTTAGCTGGGTGGAGGATTGTAGTGAGGACTAGCATTCCAGGGAGAGAGAATGGTACTGGCACAGCTCAGGTGGAAAGATGTGGAAGAGTATTGACTTTCTTTCTTTCTTTTTTTTAAGATTTATTTATTTATTTGAAAGGTAGAGTTACAGAGAGTAGGAGGGGAGAGAGAGAGAGAGAGAGAGATCTTCCATCCACTACTTCATTCCCCAAATGGCCACATTGGCTGAGACTGGGCCAGGCTGAAGCCAGGAGCCAGGAGCTTCATCCAGGTCTCCCACATGAGTTCAGGGACCCAAGTACTTGGGCCTATTTTCTGCTTTCTCAGGAGCATTAGCAGGGAGCTAGATCAGAAGCCGAACAGCTGAGACTTCAACTGGCACCCAAATGGGATGCTATTGTTGCAGGCGGAAGCTTAGCCTACTACATTAGAACACCAACTCCAGGTGTTGACTTTTGTTAAATACTTTATCTGTGACTATTGAGATGATCATGTGATATTGGTCCTTTATTCTATGTTTTCTTTTCTTTTTGTCCTTTATTATTTTATTTTAAAGATTTATTTATTTATTTGAAATGCAGAGTTACAGAGAAGCAGAGGCAGAGAGATAGAGGGGTCTTCCATCCACTGGTTCACTCCCCAGGTGGCCACAATGGCCGGAGCTTTGCTGATCCAAATCCAGGAGCCGGGAGCTTCTTCCAGGTCTCTCACTTGGGTGCAGGGGCTCAAGCACTTGGGCCATCTTCCACTGCTTTCCCAGGCCATAGCAGAGAGCTGGATTGGAGGTGGAGCAGCCAGGACTGAATCCGGTGCCCATATGGGATGCCGGCACTGCAGGTGGCAGCTTTTCCCACCGGCCCCTGTCCTTTATTCTGTTAATGTGGCATATGACATTAACTGATTTTCTAATGTTAAACTTATCTACTATTCCTGGAATAAATTCTGCATTATTAAAGTGTCCCTCATCCTTTTAACGTATGTATATTAACACTTTGAGTCAATCAGAATTCTTATTTACATTATTATAATTTTTTTTTTCTTTTGGACAGGCAGAGTGGACAGTGAGAGAGAGAGACAGAGAGAAAGGTCTTCCTTTTCCATTGGTTCATCCCCCAGTGGCTGCTGCAGCCGGCGCGCTGCACTGATCCGAAGCCAGGAGCCAGGTGCTTCTGGTCTTCCATGCAGGCGAAGGGCCAAAGAACTTGGGCCATCCTCCACTGTACTCCCGGGCCACAGCAGAGAGCTGGACTGGAAGAGGAGCAACCGGGACAGAACCGGCACCCTGACCGGGACTAGAACCCAGTGTGCTAGCGCCACAGGTGGAAGATTAGCCTATTGAGCCACGGCGCCAGCCTACATTATTATAATTATAAAAATACTGTTCATAGGCCGGCGCCGCAGCTCACTAGGCTAATCCTCCGCCTTGCGGCGCCGGCACACCGGGTTCTAGTCCCGGTCAGGGCGCCGGATTCTGTCCCGGTTGCCCCTCTTCCAGGCCAGCTCTCTGCTGTGGCCAGGGAGTGCAGTGGAGGATGGCCCAGGTGCTTGGGCCCTGCACCCCATGGGAGACCAGGATAAGTACCTGGCTCCTGCCATCGCATCAGCGCGGTGCGCCAGCCGCGATGGCCATTGGAGGGTGAACCAACAGCAAAGGAAGACCTTTCTCTCTCTCTCTCACTGTCCACTCTGCCTGTCAAAAAAAAAAATAAATAAATAAATAAAAATAAATAAAAAAATACTGTTCACAACTGAGTCATATAGTACATTCTGATTACTTTTCTTGCATAAGGTTTTTTTTTCCTGAAGTTAAAGTGTCTTTTATTTTGCTTACAGTGCATTCAAAGCATTAAGAATTTTATCAATTTCTTTTCTCTCTCTCTCTCTCTCTCTCTCTCTCTCTTTTTTTGTTAAGGATTTATTTATTTATTTGAAATGCAGAGGTAGAGAGAGAGAGAGAAAGAGAGGTCTTGTATCTGCTGGCTCACTCCCCAGGTGGCTCCAGTGGCTGGAGCTGCGCCTGTCTGAAGCCAGGAGCCAACAGTTTCTCCTGGGTCTCCATGCAGATGCAGGGGACCAAGGACTTGGGCCAACTTCTACTGCTTTCCCAGGTTATAGCAGAGAGGAAGATTGGAAGTGGGACAGCTGGAACTCGAACTGGTGCCCATTTGGAGTGCCAGCACTGCAGGTGGCAGCTTTACCCACTACGCCTCAGTGTTGGCCTCTCAATTTCTTCAAGAAGAAATCTCTCCTGAGCCTCCTCACCTGTTTCAATATTGACTACTTGCCCTTTAGGCCACTGTATATCTTGAGCTCTGCTTTTTTTGTTGTTGTTTTTTAATGTTTATTATTTTCATCTACTTGAAAGGCAGAGCAATAAAAAGAGAGAGAAAGATTCCATATCCACGGGTTCACTCCCTAGATGCCTGCAGCAGTGAGGCCTGGACCAGACAGAGGCTGGGAGCCCAGAACTTGATCTCGATCTCCCATGTGGGCAGCAGGGGCCAAAACACTTGAGCCATCTTCTGCTGCCTGAAGGATGTGTTAGCAGGCACCTGGGTCAGAAGTGTAGTAGCCACAACTCAAACCCACACTCCAGTATCCTAAATGGTGGCTTAACCTGCTGCACTACAATGCCGTCCCTGGGGTCTACTTTTATCAACATCCTGATATTACCTATGCTGTATTCTCTGTTTCCTGGATCCCATGTTTCTTACTTTCATCATTTATTTCATTACTTTTGGGCTATATATTCTCCAGCAACTTCTTAGGAAAGTTTGCACGTTAAATAAATAAGATCTCGCAGGTCTGAAGAAACTTCCAGTCCAGCTGTTTGCTAACATGCCTGGGGAAGAAGCTGATGATGGCTGAAGTGCTTGAGTTCCTACCACCCTTGTGGGAGACCCGATGCAGTTCCTGGCTCCTGACTTAAGACTGGCTCAGTCCTGGTTATTGTGGCCATTTGGGGAGTGAACTAACACAAGAAATATCTGTCTCTCCCCTTCTCTGAGTCATTCTGCCTGTCAAGTAAATAAAGAAAATAAATCTTTAAAAAAGATCAAATAAATCAATCTTTGGAAAAGGAATTCTGTGATAGATTTTTTTACTCAATTCAAAAGTGTTTGTTTTTAAGATTTATTTATTTCAAAGAGTTACAGAGAAGTAGAGACAGAGAGAGGTCTTCCATCTGCTGGTCCACTCCCCAAATGGCCACCATGGCTGAAGCTGAGCTGATCCAAAGCCAGGAGCCAGGAGCTTCTTCTGGGTCTCCCATGTGGGTGCTGGGGCGCAATGACTTGGGCCACCTTCTACTGCTTTCCCAGGCCATAGCAGAGAGCTAGATTGGAACTGGAGCAGCTGGAACTCAAACCAGTGCCCATCTGGCATGCTGGCACTGCAGGCCAGGGCTTTTAGCCCTCTGTGCCACAGTGCCATCCCCTTCAAAAGTTTTATTATCTGTTTTAATGTTGTTAAATGTTTTAAGATTTATTTTATTATTTGAAAAACAGAGTTACAGAGAGAGGTAGAGACAGAGAGAGGTCTTCCATCTGCTGGTTCACTCCCTAGATGGCTGCAATGGCCGGAGCTGAGGTGATCCGAAGCTAGGAACCAGGAGCTTCTTCTGGGTCTCCCATGTGGGTGCAGGAGCCCAAGCACTTAGGCCGTTCTCTACTGCTTTCCCAAGCACGTTAGCAGGGAGCTAGATTGGAAGTAAAGCAGCCAGGACTCAGACCAGTGCCCATATGGGACGCTGGTGCTGCAGACCAGGGCTTTAACCCACTGTGCCACAGTGCCAGCCCCTCTTGATCCATTCTGACTCTTGATCCTTTATGAAACCTATACCAGAATTCTGAAGTTTCACTTCAGGAAAAAAAAAAAGACAAAAGCTTGATCCTTTTTCAAAATGGTTGATTTAAGAGAGTTAGAAGATTAAATTTACAAGACTTGACACATTCAAGAAAAAATTATTATGAGTGGACAGATATTAATAGAGGTTAAGTTATGAGTTAGGGAAATTGGATGATGTCGTCTTTAAAATTGATTCTCAGGCTTAATTTTACAGAATCCGGAAGATAAAAGAATATGATGCTAATTTTAAAACAAAGGACTTCCCAGAAAAAGCTAAGGATATCTTCATTGAAGCCCACCTTTGTCTGAACAAGTAAGTGAGCTCCCTGTTTTATACCTTTTCTTATCAGCAGCTATTATTCTAAACACAGTATTTTGTTTTGCTTTTTTGTACAGATTTTTTCCTTAAATTTTAGGTAAGAGAGGCCGGCGCCGCGGCTCACTAGGCTAATCCTCCACCTAGCGGCGCCGGCACACCGGGTTCTAGTCCCGGTCGGGGCGCCGGATTCTGTCCCGGTTGCCCCTCTTCCAGGCCAGCCCTCTGCTGTGGTCAGGGAGTGCAGTGGAGGATGGCCCAGGTGCTTGGGCCCTGCACCCCATGGGAGACCAGGAAAAGCACCTGGCTCCTGGCTCCTGCCATCGGATCAGCGCAGTGCGCTGGCCGCAGCGCGCCGGCCGCGGCGGCCATTGGAGGGTGAACCAACGGCAAAGGAAGACCTTTCTCTCTCTCTCTCTCTCTCACTGTCCACTCTGCCTGTCAAAAAAAAAAAAAAAAAAAATTTAGGTAAGAAGAGAGAGCGAATTCTCTGAAGAACTTAATTAGTAACTGATGCTGCCCTTTTGTGTGCGTGTGTGTATATATTTCATTTTATTTGAAGGGCACAGAGACAGAGACATCTTCCATCACTGCTTTAACTTCCCAAATGCCTGTGACAGCTAAGGTTGGCCCAGGCCAAGGCCGGGAGGCAGAGCCTCAGTCTGGATCACCCACAGTGGGTGGCAGGGACCTAAGTACGTGAGCCATCAGCTGCCACTTCCCAGAGTGATGCATTAGCAGGAAGCTAAGTGGAGCTGGGATTTGAACCCAGGCACTCCAGTATGGGATTTGAGCGTCCCAAGCAGGGTCTTAACCTTTGTGCCAAACACCTTCCCTGCAGCTGTCCTTGACACCCCTCCCTATTACTGGGAGTTTTGACCCTTTGGTCTTTTTTTTTTTTTTTTTTTAAGATTTATTTTATTTATTTGAAAGACAGAGTTAGAGAGAGAGGTAGTGATAGAGAGGTCTTCCATCTGCTGGTTCATTCCCCAGATGGCTGCAACAGCCAGAGCTGCGCCAATCCGAAGCCAGGAGCCAGGAGCTTCTTCCAGGTCTCCCACATGGGTGCAGGGGTCCAAGGACTTGGGCCATCTTCTACAGGCCACAGCAGAAAGCTGGATCGGAAGAGGAGCAGCCGGGACTAGAACTGGCACCCATGTGGGATGCTGGCGCTTCAGGCTAGGATGTTAACCCGCTGTGCCTTAGTTCTACCTGCAAGCATTGGGATTCTATGCTAGGCTGGCTACAGTCCTCACCCTGTCTGGCCCCTTTATTCATCCTGACCCTTTTTATGGATTTGTCTTGTATATGTACATTTCTTTTTCCTTAGCTATTTTTTTTCAATATTTATTTTATTTATTTGAAAGGCAGAATTACAGAGAGAGGTAGAGCCAGAGAGGTCTTCCATCCACTGGTTCACTCTCCAAATGGCTGCAATGGCCAGAGCTGAGATGATCCGAAGCCAGGAACCAGGAGCTTCTTCTGGGCTTCCCACAAAGGTGCAGGGGCCCAAAGACTTGGGTCATCTTCCATTGCTTTCCCAGGCGCATTAGCAGAGAGCTGAATCAGAAGTGGAGCAGCCAGTGGGGCTGGCGCTGTGGTACAGCGGGTTAAAGCTCCAGCCTGCAGCACCAGCATCCCATAAGGGTGGCAGTTCAAGTCCTGGCTGTTCCAACCCTGATCCAACTCTCTGTTATGGCCTGGGAAAGAAGTAGAGAATGGCCCAAGTCCTTGGACCCCTGCACCCACATGGGAGGCCTGGAGGAAGCTCCTGGCTCCTGGCTTTGGATCAGCTCAGCTCTGGCAATTGCGGTCATTTGGGGAGTGAGCCAGCAGATGGAGGACCTCTCTTTCTCTCTCTGGCTCTACCTCTCTCTGTAATTCTGTCTTTCAAATAAATGCATCTTTTAAAAAAATAAAGAAGTGGAGCAGCAGGAACACAAATCAGCACCCGTATGGGATGCAAGCGCTGCAGGCCAGGGCTTTAACCTACTGTGCCACGGTGCCAGCCCCTCCTTAGTTATTTTCAATAAGTGTCTTTTGAATATTTCCAACTTTTTTTATTTCTCCAAGTCAGGACTTTTAGGAAGATGAAAAAATCAACATGAAGACCTGGAATAATTTTTTTTTTAAACATCATCCTGGATTAAGGTGGCCCTGAATCCAGGCTGAAATGTCTTTTTTTTTTTTTTCTTTTTAGAGAGAGAGATCTTTTATCTATTGGTTCGCTCTCCAAATGGCCGCAAAGCTGGGACTGGGCCAGACTGAAGCCAGGAGCTTCATCCTGGTATCTCACATCGGTGACAGGGGTCCAAGCACGTGCACCATCCTTCTCTGCCTTCCCAGGTGCATTAGTAGGGAGCTGTATCATAAGTGAAGCCACCAGGATTCAAACCAGCATTCATATGGGGTGCCGGTATCACAGGTGGCAGCCCACCCCACTAGGCCACAATGCAGCCCCTCGAATAATCCTGGGCCACCGTTGATGGTCTTTGGGCAATAGCTGCCATGCCTGTGCCTTAGCAGGTCAGGAGTGCACGTCAGACTCCTCTCTAAAATCCAGTAATTATTTCTTTTTACTTTTATTTCTTTTTTTTTTCTTGTTTTTTTTTTTACTTTTATTTCTTAAAGAGTTTTTAAATTGTGAACTATTTGAAACATTAAAAAAACTACTCTTTGGGGCCAGTACTGTGGCGTCACAGGTAAAGCTGCTGCCTGCAATGCCAGCATCATATGGGCGCAGATTCATGGCCCTGCTACTCCACTTCCAATCCAGTTCCCTGCTAATGCTCCTGGGAAAGCAGCGGAGGACAGCTCACATGCTTGGGCCCCTGCTTCCTCGTGGGAGACTCGGAGGAAGCTCCTGGCTTGTGGCTTCAGATTGGCCTAACCCCAGCCATTGTGGCCATTTGGGGGGTGAGCCAGAGAATGGAAGATCTCTCTTTCTCTGTGTCTGTCTCTGTCTCTGTAACTCTGCCTTTCAAGTAAATAAATAAATCTTTATTAAAAAAAGTAATCTTCAAGTTCATGTATTTATGTTTTGCTATATTTGCTTCAAAATCCATAATTTGGAATAAGGAAGAGAAAACATCATACCTAAAGCTCCATCTCCCATCCTTTCTCTCCTTAGAAATAACCACTATCCTATGAATCATTTCATGCATATTTTAATACCTTCACCACAAGCATGCATGTATGCATCTATATACAATATTAGTCCATAATTGTGCCACATTATTTTATGTATCTAAAAAATTCACATGAACAATGTTGTATATCTTTTTGCAATCTACTGTCTTTATTGTTTGATGTTGTTCTTTGTGTACTGGATTTTTTTCTATCACATGATTTTTCTTTTTCCCTCTCATTTATTAGAGTGATATCATTTCCTTCTTCCTTTTTCTCCCCTCTACTTGTATTCTTTTTTTTTTTTTTTTTTTTTTGACAGGCAGAGTGGACAGTGAGAGAGAGAGACAGAGAGAAAGGTCTTCCTTTGCTGTTGGTTCACCCTCCAGTGGCCGCCGCGGCCAGTGCGCTGTGGCCGGCGCACTGCACTGATCCGATGGCAGGAGCCAGGTACTTATCCTGGTCTCCCATGGGGTGCAGGGCCCAAGCACTTGGGCCATCCTCCACTGCACTCCCTGGCCACAGCAGAGAGCTGGCCTGGAAGAGGGGCAACCAGGACAGAATCTGGCGCCCTGACCGGAACTAGAACCCGGTGAGCCGCGGCGCCGGCCTCTACTTGTATTCTTTTAGCAGTTAATAATTGTTTAACATGCACTCTTGACTTGCAGTTATAAGAAACGGTTAAGTAATTTTGGGTAGAGAATTCCTGGTTGGTGGTTTCTTTTCTTTTCTTTTTAAAGATTTATTTATTTATTTGAAAGTCAGAGCTACACAGAGAGAGGAAAGGCAGAGAGAGTCAGGTCTTCCATCCGCTGGTTCACTCCCCAATTGGCAGCAGCTACAGCAGGAGCTGTGCTGATCCGAACCCAGGAGTCAGGAGCTTCTTCTGGGTCTCCCACATGGGTGCAGGGGCCCAAGGACTTGGGCCATCTTCTACTGCTTTCCCAGGCCATAGCAGAGAGCTGGATCGGAAGTGGAGCAGCCAGATCTCAAACCTGCACCCATATGGGATGCCAGTGCTTCAGGCCAGGGCCTTAACCCGCTGCGCCACAGCACTGGCCTCTGGTGATTGTTTTCTGTCAGCAGTTTTGAAGATGTCATCTTTTGATTGCTATTGTTTCAGTTGAGAAACTAGCTAGTTTGTCCTGTTGTTTCTTTGTTTCTTTTTCTCAGGCTGCTTTGAAAATTTCTTTCTTTTCCCTTAAGTATGCAACACTGCACTATTATATACTGGAGGTGTTTGTGTGCATCTTTATCCTGCTATGGCTTCCTCTTGCTTTTTAAATTGCTGGGTGCTTTTTTTTTGTCAGAGTTGGAAAATTCTCAGACTATCTCTTCAAATGTTGCTTCTGCTCCACTTTCCCATCTCCTGGTGTTAGATCTTTTCACTTGTGTGCCAAATATGTCCCAAGTTCCCTTTTATATTTTTCCAATCTTTTTTTCCCCCTCCCACTTTAGTCTGGATATTTTCTGCTCTGTCCTCTTTTCAATTATATCTAAACTGCTGTTAAATTTGCCTAGTGAATTCTTAATTTTATATTTATTCTCTGTTTTTCACCTTCAGGATTTTCATTTGACTTTGTGTTCATCTCTCTGCTAAAAATCTTTTTTTTGTGATTTTAATTTATTGAATGTAGTATTCACAATTATTTTAAAATCTGTTTCTTATGACTTCAAAATTTGTATTTTTTTAAAGATTTGTTTAGTTATTTGAAAGTCAGAGTTACAGAGAGAGGAGAGACAGAAAGAAATCTTCCATCCACTGGTTCACTCCCCAAATGGCTGCAATGGCTGGGCCTGGGCCAGGCTGAAGGCAGGAACCTGTAACTACACTCATGTGGGTGTAGGGGCCCCGGCACTTGGACCACTTT